AGAAACAGGGAGCTTTGAAGAGGAGTGCTCAGAATCAATCTCGAACGACAACAAAATTGTTTCAATTAATGCAACGAGGTACGGGGAGGGAAACAAATGATTCATATGTGGGATTACAAGAGAGAATGGGTAGCGGGAGAAATCCCTAAATTTCTAAGATTTTTCTATTTCTTTTTTGAAGCTGAAATTGACTATTGAATTAAGTTTTATATTGATTTATAAATGTGGTTGTTATATTGTTTGGTAAAATTGATGACAGATAATAATTGAATTCATTGGGATGTGCTTTGTAAGTTAGGGTTCTTGTAAATTGATGAACACCCTTAATTATATGAATTGATGAGTAATTGAGAGATTTTACTCATGGATGTACCTTAATATTTTTGTAATATATTTCTGTGTGATTAACTAAATCATTCTTCGTTTGTTGGGCTAGAAAGTAGACACTTGAGACTATAATTTAGACTCTAGAATCATGTAAAAATATTAAGAATTGATTGAGTTATGTTAGTTATAAGTTTAGTCTCTATTCTAATGCGCGACATATAAAGTTTTGTGTTGTCATCCATGCGAGTTGACTTTAAAGACATTTTTAGGCTTCATGTTCTTCACAAAAGTTGTAGCCTCGAATGTTATCTTTTCGCTGGTGTTGGAATCACTAAAAAAGAATGTGTATAACTCAAGTTATGGTGAAAATAGTGAGTAGAGGTCAAGTTGTCAAGATTTACGGTGCCTGGCACGAGTATTCTATTTCAGTTTGCATTTTTGACGTTTTGGGACCCATTTTTGGCATGTTTGTGATACTTTATGAATTCTTAGTGATGCTTTATAATACATATGATATGATTGAATAAGTTTGATGTGAGATTGTGAAATTTGGTATTATATTGATGAATTTTGATGATGGTTGTGAATTGTATAATGTCCAATAATGACTACTATATAAATAGATATAAATGGTGTATATTTGGCTAAGTATATTTGAGTATGAATGGTTTGTATTTGAATGAGTGATATATAAATGTGGTTGTATGGGAATGGTTAATAAATGTGCATTAGCATGAATGAAGATGAGGAATGAATTTGGTGGTATGGATTGACCATCGATAGACGCATATGCATTACCTTGGCTTGTGTTGTAATTAACAGAGTAGTGCATTACCTTGGCCTATGTGGTGTTTAACAATGGGGACGTGCGTGGTGGTGCTTAAGGCGATTGATAAGGTTTTCCTATTGTGCGGTGCTCCAAGTCAATGCTTCCTAGGAGATTGTAGTGAATGAGCATTGGTGTGAGTATGTTCATGGTGAATAATTATGTTAGGATGTGATGATAGACTTGGATGGCTTTGGAATAGATAATATGACATGAGATTAACTGATATGGATGGTTAAATTCAAATAATGTTGTCATTTATGCATTTTTTAATAATTTTTTTTATTACATTAAATTTTATATAATAAAAATTCAAAAATACATTTTAGTACTTTCTCGTTTCTTAAGTCAAAGTATAATTTTAATTTAGTTAAAATACATTTTTAGTCCCTATAGTTTCATTTACTCTACATTTTAGTTCCTATAGTTTAAAATAGACATTTTTAGTCCCTATAATTATCTTTTTCAATCTTATTTAGTCCTTATGATTTAAGATAGGTCTTTCTAGTTCCTATACTTATAGTTTTTTTTTAATCATTTGAGTCCTTGTAGTTAATTTTTTTGTAACGTTGTCTCTTTCATATTAATATGACAAAGATATTAATTTAATTTTGTGTATTTGATGTCAATTTTATTTTGCTAGAGTTACTCTAAATTAAGTCTTTCAACATTTCGTGTCTCTTTTGTATCCTTACCTATGACATGATGTCCATTACTGAGAAACCATTTTTTTTATCTTCATAAAATTGAAAACTTTTATCACGTCAATATAAAATAAATAATTGTTAAGTTAATAGACGATCTTAGATCTCTCAAGCTATAAAGTTATAATGATAGCAAATTTAGACATTTTAAGAGAAAAGTTTTTAAATGATTCAGTAAGACAAATGCCTTAAGACGATTTATTGTCTCGACATAAGTGTTTAATAGACGAAATACTTCATTTGTAAGACATTTACTTTGAATCAATATCATGTATGATGTCTGATAACCAAAACGATCTTTGTGTGTATGATTTCTTATTAGATCGAAGCAAAATAGATTCCTCGATACCCACAATGACAAAAGAGAAAGAGGACATGTTTTTCATTAAAAACAGTCAAGTAGGTCCCTTGAATCACATAAATCATCAAAAAAAGTTGCTTTGAATTGACACATGCATGACTCCATTTATTTGGTACCTAAAAGGTGATAAGTAATTTTCTTGATTAGATAAGAAGTGACAATTTGGTGAAATACATTTAATGCAAGCAATTAATACACCAACAAACACCTCTCTCCATAAGGAAAGGAAAATTGAATATAGGCAAAGTAAGACTATGAGAGATGCTCAAGAATTTGCAATGGTCATCTTCACTAAAGCACTTATATAAGTAAGTTTGAAATCCAAAAAGAAAGAGAGAACACACACATTGTAAAAAATCATATTCATTCTTTCTATAAAAACTTTGTACTTAATTAGTTGTATCATGTCTTGATAGTAAAATGAAACAACATTGTTAGTTTACCTAACTTGAACTTTGTGTTATTGCTTTGGCTTGGAAAGACTAGTTTGTAAAAGAATACTCGTGTTTTGAGCGTAAAAAGGATTGTTTGTAAAAGAATACTAGGGTGTTTAACACTTGAAAAAGCTTTGTGTTAAAGAATACTTGGGTAGCTGCTTAAAGAAGTAAGTCAAAAAATACTTAGGTTGAGCCAGAAGTGACTTGTGAAAGAATACTATTATCTTTGCAAAGATAGTATAACTTGATCAAATTTGATCAAGAATTAGACTCAGTATCAATAGTTGAGAGAAACCAATATAAAAATACTTTTTGTTCTTTTGATTAACTCTTCATCTGCACTCTTAAAGCATTTTCATACTTCTTCACTTGTTTGAAAATGTGAATTTTTTATAAACATTATTTAACCTTTCTTCTAGTGTCTTTTTTTTTCTCCACAATAATGTTATAAAAAAAAATAATGATGAGGACTAAAAGAATTACAAAATTACAAGTATAAGAATTAAAAAATTATCTTAAACTATAAGAAACTAAAAAAATTGAAAAAGATAAATATAGATATAACATCCCACTGTTCATAATAAATTAATTAAAGATTTTAATTGATTAATTGAGAAATAATATATTTTGAGAGATATTTTAACATAATAGTAGTTATTATTTATTTTCTTAGTATTATCTTTTAAAATATAGAGGATAATTAATTATCCTTTAACAATTTTTTCTTATGACACAATAATTCAATTATGAGAAGAAAATATTATAAAACTGATTATAACCCGTACTCAATTTTTTGCACATTCTCTCATGCCGCCAAAACTCTTCTCAAGACCTTTTAGTTTCCAAATTCCTTAAATGGTATCCCTTAAATTTTATAATTCTTCATAAAAAAAATTAGATTCTTTCATATCTATAATTTGAATTTTCTAAATGAACAAGAATATACCCGCAAAAAATCAAAATATTGCAAATCATAAATGAGCAATTTTACAATTAAATTACTAATAATGACATATGCAAAAAAAAAATCACAAAATTAATAAGCGAAGAAAGATATTCATCATAAAATACCAAACTTCTTACAAGTTAAAACATTATTACTTGTGCGATGCAGCTTATAAAATTCAAATTAATTTAAATCTCTCTTTGAATAATTAGTAGGTAGATGGCGTAAGATTCTTTTTTTTTTTTGTGGACCCATTAGCATTTAATAAAATTCATTCATTTAAATGTCATTGAAGAGTTAAAATAGTTGCAATGCAAAAGACAAGACAAAATAACTCTATTGAACCCATTTCTTGTAATAGTTACACACCAAAACATCAAAAAGGAAAAAAAAAAAAATACTAATTAATAATAAATTCCTCTTTGGTGTAAACAAAAAAAGATCCCCTTTCAGATAAGTTTATTAATAAAATTAAAAAAAAAAAGAAGGAAACTGTATTTTACAGGGTGTAAATCACATCATCATGTTTATAACGGTCAATTACAACTTTTTCAAATAAAATATTATTATTAGAGTTTTGTTGAAAGGAAAAAGAGGCTTTCAGGTTTTGTTGACCGTTTCTGTCCCCAACACGCTCTCCCTCTTCCCCACTTCTTCTTCCTCTTTCTCTTACACACACACACATGTATTTGATACCACTCTCAACTATCACCACCATACCCTTCATCCAAACCTTCTTCTTTTGAATGGGTTGCTTTCTTGGTTGTTTTGGTTCCTCCAAACACAGAAAGCACAAGCACAACGCTCATGTTCATGTAAGACTCTTCAATTCCCTCACTAGACACTAGTTCACAACACCACCAAGATTTTCTTTTTCTGTTTCTTTTCTTTCATTGCCATGACCCCTTTTCTTGCTTTTCTCACCACCCAACCAGAGCTAACTTGCTTTCTTTTTTCTGTTTCAGAGAAATGGTAGTAGCAACAGCAAGCAAGAGCAACCTAGTGTCTCTTTGGTTCAGGATTGCTCCAAAAATGCTGTGAACCCTTCACCACAACTCCAGTAAGCAATTCCCTTCCATGATCTTCAGTTTCATTGGTTACTTGCTATTTTTGGAAGCTTTTGATATGTATGAATGTTAATGCAGGGATAAAAGTGAGGAGCAAGTCAGTGTGAGTAGCAGAAAGAAAGTGACATTTGATTCCCATGTGAAGACCTATGAGCCTGTTTTGGCTGAAGAATTTGAAGAGAGGAAGAGTGAGGAAGGTGGAAAGGAGGAAGCTTTGGCCCAATCAAAGTCATCTTTCTCTGAAGATAGTTCTCTGACTTCAACGGGATCTTTCCCTCCCAACCATAGGTACCAGAATTGCCGGGACAGTGATGAGGAGGAGGAAGAGATTGATTACGGGGACAGTGATCCTAGTGATGAAGATGAGGATGATGATGTCATCAGAGAAGAATGCATCGGAGAAGATGGGGTGGTGGTAACTGCTGCTTCTGATCATGTGTTTGCTGAAGAGGATGTTGATGTGAAGTCAATTGGATCCAACCCCAATGCTAGAGACAGAAGTGTTTATGTTCATCCTGTGCTGAACCCAGTGGAGAATCTCACTCAGTGGAAAGCTGTTAAGGCTAAAAGAACACCACCATCAAGGCCTCAGAAAGAGAATGATTTGCCATTTGGTGTCAAAAAACCATCTTTCAGCTTGAATTCAGAAACTGACGCACCAAAGAAGTTGAACCAGGATATTCCAGTTGATGCCAGCTTGTCAAATTGGTTGTTCTCATCAGAAACTACACCACAAACAAACAAGGCTGGCTCAGTGACTTTTGATGCTGGTACCCCTGACAGGAGCACAACCTCACAAGGTTCATATTCTGTGATAAGTCATGAAGATAGGCCAATTTTAGGGGCATTGACATTGGAAGAGATCAAACAATATTCGGCTACTTCGTCTCCAAGGAAGTCGCCAAGTAGGAGTCCAGATGAGATGCCTATTATTGGCACTGTTGGAACCTACTGGAATGTCTCTGCTGAGAATTCTGGCTCAGCTTCTTCCTTTAAAGGGATTCCAAACACAACAAGCAAGTACAGAGAGGTAAAGATGAGGTGAACTTTTAAGAGATGTTATTACTGATTAGTGATTAGTTTGAGGGTGAATTCTGATTTAGTCATGCAATGGTATGGTTGTGCAGGATAAGACAGTGAATTGGCACTCAACCCCTTTTGAGACAAGGTTAGAGAAGGCTTTGAATAGAGATGGTGCTTCTGCTTATGTTCCTCGTGTATTCTAGACAAGCTTGCAATAGTGTGTGGTTTTGGGGAGGGAGTGAATTGTGCAGGAATGTATTTTTTATATTCTTTTGTAAACGTGATAGAGTGTAACGGTCTACTTCTCTATTATAATTTGTACTTGGCTTTAAAAAGTTCAGCCTGTGGTGCGCTTCCCTTGGAAAATTCAAGTGCAGATTATAACATGTAATATTAATGATAATATCTGTGCAGTCTTGCTGAAATCATATTTCATGTTTGAATGATAAAGAAATCATATCATATCTTATAAAGGAATCTTTGGTTTTTAACGATGATGAATCTTGCATCATAATCTATTCTATTAAGGATACACAACTTGCGCATATATGCACACTCAACATTACAAGTGGTCTTTAAGGACACAACTTGTGTATATATGCACACTTAAAACCATAAATCTCATCTGTACTCCTACTAGGTGACTTCCTTATGCATAGTGCATATATACACCGTTCACTTTTCTCATAAAGGTATACGCAACATACTCCAACAGAAGAACCTGGTTCTGTTGAAGTGAGAAGGAAGCTACCCCTTCTTGTCTCCATTCCACCACCTTACGTTATGTTTGTATTTTTGTTGAAATCTTGGTAGCGTGATTCCAGTACACTATAAACACTTAAGTAACAAAAGGGATCATGATCATTTTGCAAAATTACGTTGGAAGAATGTTAACACAAACATGCACTTAGCATTTTATGCCACACTGTTTGAGTACTGGACCTCTTTCTTTGGGCAAGAAAATATCAAGTCGCACCCAAATCATTGAGAAAATTATCGCTGTAAGTATTGACCAAAGGACTACAATGGTAGGGGTTCTGTTTTGCCTTCCCATTAGACCTTTGAGGAAAGGATATAAGTGCACAATGACCCACAAAGAGAAGAATAGCTTCCCAAAGAAAGGTCCCCATGAGTCATAGCCATTGTTAATGGCATCAGAGATTCCAGCCACGATTCCCACCATATTTAAGATTACAAGACTGGTTGGAGGGATGAAAAGAGTAGTCCACTTGAAGAGATAGAGCTGTCCAAAAGAAGTGTCATTTGCTGATTTTGCTCTCACAGTGAAATTAGTGTCTACTCCAGCAACTTTAAGGAGACCTTGAAATACAGCAAAAAGGTGTGCAGAAACACCCCCAATGACCCAGAATTGCTCATTGCGCCACCAGTCCTGAATGCTAACCCCACTCCAACGAAGCTCTAGCACACAGGTTAAGATGATGGAGATGAATAAGGCCATTAACCAAATGCTAGCAAGGTTTGACAGCTGCACAGAAGAGAACTTTGGTCAGAATACATGAACCCAATGTCAATAACATTGTTTTCCTTTCTTACAAAAGTAATGGTGAATTAGAGCTTAACAAATTGAGTTATCCTAGTAATAAAAAGAAATTAGTATTGGTTTCCGATCAAAGTTCTCATTTAATACAAACCAACTTAAATACTATTGTTTTTCTAACAAGCCAAAATCATTTGAAAGTCCTTAGGCTTATCTTTCACATAGCTCCCATTACATTCTCAATGAAAGAATGAGAGCCTGACAGAAGTAAAATTTTGTGCATGTATATAGTTAAAATGGCTGCTAGTAATACTATTTGAAATACTTTTTTTATTGATTGAAATTTATTAAAAATCACAATTTTCGATTCATTTAAAAGTCAGGAGATAAACTTGTTAATAAAAATTGAGTCTTATCAAAATTGTAGTTTTTAATAAATATCAACCAATAAAAAAAAGAGCATATTTAAAAGTGTTGCTACTTGCTAGCATTTCTCATATAGGTAACGAGGAAGCTAGAGTCATAGTGTATTCAAGTTAATCATATATGATAAATTGATTATTTGCACCTACAGTGGGGATGATGAACTTTCCAGTCAGAAGACAGACAGCTGGAACTGTACAGTAGACCAGCAGAGGGATGGAAGTGAATGGATAGACAATGGAATTGGTGTAGGCCAACCTCTGTAAGCATTTGAGTTTTCCACTATAGCCATACCACAAAGGGCAATAGCCACTAAAGAAAATCTGAGTAGAACCTGAAGCCCATTTCAGAACTTGATGTAATCGGTCTGATAGATTTATAGGAGCAGATCCCTTAAAAGCTGCTTTCTTTGGCATGCAGTACACTGATTTCCATCCTTTACAATGCATGTTAAACCCAGTTAAGATGTCTTCTGTGACTGAGCCATAAAGCCACCCAATCTGCAGAAAAAGAAATGTCAAGATGACTTGATTCCTTAGCAGTCATGAAATTTTAAGTAACTGCTTTCATATAGGAAATGAACGTCTAGTTAAAACAAAATTCATTCTTGTTTTTTGATGTGTGAAGGAGCCCTTCTATCAACAAATCTACAATGTTTGTTTTTTTCCATTTCAAAGCGCTCAATGTAATAACAGGATTACCTCTTTTCCCCATTCAGTTTTCTCTTCATAGTCACAGCTTATTACATGAACTGCTTCCTTAATCAGTAATCGGGTGTTGGTGCCTTTCGGAAGTCCACCATCTTCCATCAAAGCAGAATCAATGAAAACTGGTGATTGTCCAAATCGTTTCTCTAAATTTTTCAGGGACATGAATGATAATTCCTCTTCCTCATCAAAGTCTTCAAGCTCTTGATCACTCTCTTCAACATCAGATGTGGACTGAGAGTCACCAGAACAAGAGCTGCAGCATGAAGGCCAGCAGCAACTTTTCATCTTTGGCCTTTTCTCAGAAGGTGGCTCATAGCCATATAATGCCTGCCTGTTGAACACACATCCAGTACCAACATACATAGGCCCTTGAATCCCATCAAGGCATTTCATGTTGATCTACGATATAAACAAAGCAAAATTCAAGGAAGAAGTTAAGGATCAGTCAATGAAATTGTAATTTGTATCAAAGTTTAGAAGAATGTTCCTTACATCAAAGAATACAGTATTGTGATTAGCATATCTGTCATTGCAGTCGATGCCATCAAACCTTCGTGGAAATTGGACATAACAGAACTTCTTTCCAAGTTGAGGGTCCATTAAAAAGCACATAGCCTCCCTAAGAACCTTGCTATTATTGATGTATTGGTCACAATCCAGATTCAATGCAAAAGGTGCATTACTAAGCACAGCAGAAACTCGCACCTATAGAGGAAATACAGCATTGCAAGAGTTATAAACTGTTTTTCTAATATCATGTTCATTAAATTACTGAAGTTTTAGGCTTTAAGCTACTTACCAGAGCATTCATGGCACCAGCTTTTCTGTGGTGTTGATAGCCAGGACGTTTTTCCCTTGAAATATACACAAGCCTTGGCAGTGCCTTGCCTTCCTTGTCCAGTGCACCAGCACTTCCTAGACATACCTGCAAAGACAAGTCATGATTCCTAGGTTTGTTTATTACCCAGAGTTTTGAAGAAAGACTAATTTTTGAGACTGAATTTCAACACCCTTCCCCAAGTTCTAAATCAATAATAATTAACATTTGTTATTGGCACAAGATCCTAATTCACATCAAACAAAGGCTAAACCTGAATCATTCCTGGATGATCGTCAATGTTGTTCCCAGGCCATGGATTACCATCTTGCATCACCCACCCCTCTTCTGGTTTTTTCTGAGCCTTTGCAACCAACACATTAATTTTCACCTTGAATTCTTCATACTCTCTCTGCAAATGTGCAAAGGAAAATGCCTCAAAGTCTCACATGGACAATAGAACAACAACATCTAAAAGAAAAACTGTTTTTTTCACGGCATATCTATGTAGTCCCCACCCACCTTCATGGCCCTGCGATCCTTAACAAACGTGGGGTGCACCTTATCTTTCAAGTAATCAAGTTTCTCAGAGAAATAAAACTCAGGTGCCCTTGGCTCAATGTTATACTTGTTACAAAAAGGAACCCATATTCTGGCAAACTCAGCAGTTTCTGACAAGGTATCAAAGAGAAGCATAGATGCACTGTCATCTGAGACATAGCAGCTAACCTTCTCAACAGGATAATCAACAGACAACACTGATAGAACCGTGTTTGCAGTTACAATAGGTGGTTCCTTCAAAGGGTCTGCAGTGGTCACAAAGATATCAACCGGTGCTAGAAGGTTTGGCTCCCCTTCACGTTCAAACCTTATGGACAAACGTTCAAGGTAAGTTTCACGAGTAATGGGGAACCACTTGGGGAGTTGGTCAACTATCCAAGATAGTGCAAGCCAGATTTCACAGACTACAGAGATTATCCACAAGGCAAGTGCATCATGAACTGGAGTTGTGATGCGCAAGTGGAAGAAGAAAACTAGGATAACGAGACGCATGATTATGACTATGCGATAAGGGTTGATTAAGCTTGAAGCTATTGGAACTTTGCGCCACAGTGGTTGCCTTCCCTCAGCCAAACTGCAAGGAGCAACACCTCCAATCTTAGTCATGGTTGTTTTGACAACAAAAAGAGGTGAAAAGAAGAAATTGCTTAATTTTCAATGATAAATGATATAATGCGACAAAAATCAAGAAAAAATGAAGTGTTAAATGAATGTTTTTACTAATTAAGTGTTCATGTATTATGAGTTCTTCAATTTATTAGAATCATTAGCATCGACCTATTGGTGGAAAGTTGAGATAATATGTTTAGATTTTAGATTCAAACCTTATTACTGTTGATGTGATTTTAACGGATAAATAAAAAAAGTTGTTCAATTTATTAATGGTGTATTTGAGAGAAGACAACTTACAGGTAGTCATCTTCTCCTTGGTCATTGCTCATTAAACTTCTCTTTTCTTTCCGTTTATCTGCATTCCCATAGAATGCTTCCTGCCCTTCAAAACCACTAGCAACTAAAGAAACAGAAGACCAACTCAGAAAAGTGTGCATAAATACACAGAAAGACCAGAAAACCATAATGGTGGAACATTATAATTAGCATTTGTTTTTATTTCCAAAGATAAATTAATAAAAAAAAATGTTCACCACTTCCAGCCACAGAGAATGCTTGACCACCAATGTGTTGATTATAGTCTCCATTTTCCTGCAAAAAGACACAACAGAACCTCAGCACTTAATTAAATTATAGTGTTAGTAATAACAAAACAATATTTATACTTGAAGAAGCAAGCAAACTGAATATACCTCGTCCGAGAAACGGAATCGATTTCGGGAGTGAGAGCCAGTGGTTGAGGCTGAAGTCATAGCCATTGCAACTAGGAAGCGTGGATTGCGGAGAGAGCAGAAGGGTGGTGTTTTTATAAGAAATGGGGGGTTAAGAGTGATGATAAAGGAAGAAAGATAAGCACTTGAATGTAATGTTAGCATCACCCTTAGAGTTGGCAAGTCGTGGATTTGATTTTGAGTTGAAAATTACTTCATCTGCTGGATCATCGTGATCACTTCACTTGCTTACTGTGCTACGTTAATTAATTACTTCTGCATGCCCATGCAACTAGCTAGTACGTATGCATATGTAGCTACCTAACTTAAACTCTACTTTCTTGTTCTACAGATATTGTTCACTGATCCGGGAATAAGCGAACAGTTTCTCTTATGAAGAATCAAAATTAAAAGTTAGATATGTATAAGTGAGAATTTTTCTTATCGTGGAAAATAAGAATTTTAAATTTGACTCATACAACTATGCGTGTATGATATCAATATTAAAAGTTAGTTAACATGATGCATATATAATTGAGATTTTTCTATTGTAAAGAACAAGAATTATAAATTTGAGTCATTCAACTATATATATTGATGAATTAAAAATTAGTAAGTAAAGTGGAAACTTTTTTATTATATAAAAAGAAAGATTTTCAAATCCTAGCTATACAAAAGTTAGGAGTCGTAAATTCAGTAAAATATAAAACTTAATATAATATTTAAGTTTTGAGATTCTCTCATCTATCGATGTTTTCATTGAGATTTAGACAATAAAAAGGATTGTCTATATATAATTATAGGTTGGTTAGGTTGAGATACAAACCGATCGATAGATGAGTGACATTGTCAAATAAAAAAGTATTATCATTTAGAAATAATATATAACTACTTCTTTTTTAAGATAAATTTTAACCTTTCAAATATTAATTAATAGTCTTTATTTGTAGTTTTAATTTCTTACAATAATTATCAATTAACCCATAATTAGTAAATTAAATTAAAAATATAATTAAAATAAAAGATAATAAAAACAAACATGTGCACGGTTGTGGTAATCATGACAAATATTTTTGAAATGTATATCACTTGTAGCAGAAAAAATAAAATACATAGTTGACACAATATACATTACACATGCTGGTAAGAAAAATAATTTTTGCTCCCTTGAACGTCTAAAAAATTCTCCTATTTGAGATATGCATAAACAAAACAAAAGAAACAAAGCAGGTGCATGGTATTTCACAACGCCATCTCTTCTTTCACAACATAATAGTTCTATAAACGAAACATAAACTGAATTTCTTAATCTCGATGATGAAATTTTGAGTTTATCACCTTGTGACATCACTAAAAAAAATAGACATATATTTTATAGTGGCATAATAATTAATTAAAAATTACTTTTACGTATATTATAGATATAATATATGTTAGTTTATTATTAAAAATTGCAAAAATATGCTATAATAACTACAACATATATTATTGAATCTTATTTAAAATTAATATTAAAATTATATATAATTCTATATCAAATAGATTTATACTTACATATATTATATATATAAAATATTTTTTATATATTACTGTATATATGATATTTCTTGTAGTAGTTAAAAAAATATAATGAGGTTCTTTTGCTAAATCAAAATTGTCTTTTTACATTGCACATTGACTATTCCAGCAATGTAGATTGTTGATCTCATGGGACTAGATTTTGTTTGAAGTAGAAAGCTGATGTATATATATCTAAATTATTTCCTAATTTTTGTGTTGATTTAATTTACTTATTTCTTGATGGAAATATTACCCTCCGCTGTCTTATGCGAGAGATCTGATATATAAAGGATAAGTATGTTTTGTTAAAAGTTCTTTGCATTTGCACCCGTTGTATGAAATTGTTGGTTTATAAACGTCAATTTTAAGTTGGCACGTTATAATTTTGGCATCTTTTATTATTAACTTCTTTTATATGAACAAAGGGGGTGAACAAATCTATTTACGTCCTTTTCGTTTTCTTTTAATAACTTGCTTACTTTCCAGTGAAAATTCCCCTCAGTTTGTAATTTTTCTTCCAACTTGGTACATTGATTAGACATAAAAACTTATTCTTGTTTCTTATTGTTGCTTTTTTTTTTGTACAACCTTTTTTCTTTTACACATCTATTAGTGATGTACAATAAAATAAAATTATAAGGTGATAGAATATGTAAGGGAGGAGAATTTTCACCTTATAATTTTATCTTATAAGATTGAATTAGGTCAAAATCAACATTCTTAAAATGATGATATTACAATTTATCTTAATAATTATTATTAGATTTATTAAGTCATTTATATTATAGGATCACTCATTATTAAATTGTTATCAGATTATTAGCAAAAGTCTAATTTTTAATATAAGGAGAGTTATTGGAGATCTCGATTAATTATAAAAAAAATTTGTAAAATTATGATAAGTTCAATAGGTTTTCTTAAAATTATTAATGAAAAAATGACACATAATATGTAATATTTTAAAACTCAAATGGGAGAATAATTATCAACTAAGTTAGGATATGGAGTTAATGAGTCATTGGTTGAATTGCATTAGTTGATATATTATGAAATATATAATTTTAAATTATGAATTTTTTTTTGTTTGACAAATAGTAATAAAATCGAAAATGGTTAGCCAATTTGTTTGGTTAAGAAGAATGGAAAGAAGAAATTTAATTAAAGAAAAAAGGAAATAACTCTATTTTATTCATAATTGGAGGAGGAAGGTTTCAAAAAAATTTACTTTTACACCTTTATAATTTTGAATTTTAAATTATAAATAAAAATATTTTAATTCTCCTCGCGGAAAAAATTATATGAGAGATTTTATTTCCCCTCTCATTCCCTCTTAAAAATTAAATCAAATAATAAAAATTTATAAAAATATCTCGTCATTTTCTCGGCAAACATTATATATCCAAAGTTGAAAAAAAAAAGGTTAAAAACCTCTTTTGGTCCCTGATAATATTTTTTTGTTTCAATTTAGTCCCACTTTAATTTTAGGTCTTAATTTGGTCCCCAATAATTTAAATCATTGCAATTTGGGACTTCCGTCCAAATGATTTAAACGGATTAACTCCTGCTGACGTGGATGCTAGGTGGATGCCACGTAGATGCATAGGTGGATGCCATATGTCATGAATACACCTGGAACCAGAACGTTCCATTCTGAAACCAGAACTGCCCGTTCTGCATGCACATGTTATGTGTTAAATTTGCAACTGGAACGGGCCATTTCAAATGCAAATTTAACACAACATGAGTGCAGCAGAACAGGCCGTTTTGAAACCAGAACGGGTCGTTCTGCTGTTAGAACGAGTCATTCTACTGTTAGAACGGGTCGTTCTGAATTCAGAACGGCCCGTTCTAGAACGCCAACTTCATGCTTTTCATTGTATTTTTTTTATTATATCTATATTAATAAAAATATAATAAATAAAAAATACAATAAATTAATATTCATTTATGAATAAAACTAAAAAAAAAAGAATCAAATAAGATAAAACCTTCCAAAATCCTTCTTTGATTTGAACTTATCCAGTTCAAAATCTTGACTAAAATGCCGCAATGTGATTCAAAAATTTAAAATAAAAATTCATAATATATCATAAATTCAAAAGACAGAAACATGGTTTAGAAACTGAAAACAAAAATTCAGAACATAACATATACTAAAAAAGTTCAAAGAAATTATTGAGAAAGGAAATCATCTAGGTAATGCTGAAGGGAAATCCTAAACCACAAAAATTCAGGTTGTACCTCCTCAAGAACAAATTGTTATTGTTGGAATACATCGTCAATGACTTCAAGGGGAAATACCGTTTCGTTTCATCCTTGACTGTATAGTGTCAATTTGGTAGTAAGTGGTTCACTCCAGTTTGACTAACAATGAAATAAAACTTGTTACCATTGTCCTTAGTGATACACTGCATCGTTCTTAATGATACAATGTATAGCCCAAATGTTTAGCAATTGAAGTTATGAATCCCGATTAACAATATTACCAAATCTAGTGTTTGAAATGCTTTGTATTTTGGTTTTTTTTCACGAAATTCTGGAACTAGAACGACCCGTTCTGAAATCAGAACGGCCTGTTCTGGTTACACTGTTTGTGTGTTAATTTTGATGGGGTTATTTTTATGGTATTTGTCTGAGAGGATATTTTATGAATTATTTTTATAAGGTTATTACACAAACATACTCCACAATGATGAGATATTGTCCGCTTTGGGCCTTAGCCCTCACGGTTTTGCTTTTGGTCATCACCCAAAAGGCCTCTCAATCATTGAAGTATGTTTGTATTATATAAGTTGTTATTTGTTGTATTATTTTATCGATGTGGGACTTGTTTGTATCCCAACAATCCTCTTCTCAAACAAGGGGTTATAGGGTTATTGATTGTCACCGAATCCAACCTGCGGCTCTGATACCACTGATGAGGTTATTTTTATGGTATTTGTCTGAGAGGATATTTTATGAGTTATTTTTATAAGGTTATTACACAAACATACTCCACAATGATGAGATATTGTCGATTTTGGGCCTTAGCCCTCACGGTTTTGTTTTTGGTCATCACCCAAAAGGCCTCTCAATTATTGAAGTATGTTTGTATTATATAAGTTGTTATTTGTTGTATTATTTTATCGATGTGAGACTTGTTTGTATCCCAACAAATTTTGCATCTGGAACGACCCGTTCCAGGTACAAAATTTACACACCAATAGTGTAACCAGAACGGGCCGTTCTGGTTTCAAGTGTATTCAAGTATTTTGGGATCCACCTACATGACATCTACGTGGCATCCACCTGGCATCCACATCAGCAGGAGTTAACTCCGTTTAAATCATTTAGACGGAAGTCCCAAATTGTAATAATTTAAATTATTGAGACCAAATTGAGACCTAAAATTAAAGTGGGACTAAATTAAAATAAAAAAATATTATAAGGGACTAAAAAGGTTTTTAACCCAAAAAAAAAAATACTATCCACTATCATTAAAAAAATATGTTAGATAATATAATGCTATCATTTTGTTTTCCTGAAAGACTTGCATAATTAACATCGAAGAAGTAACATATGTAACAACAGACATTTTTTATTTAAATCATTCAGAAAAACAAATTTAATTCTTATTACGGTACTACTTTTTATTTTATTAAAATTTTGTTAAATAGTCCCTCTGTTACAAAAATTTCAAATATAAAAATTTATTAGCTAAATATTCGGTTGATATTTTTTTATAACCATATTATTAATAAAAAAATATCTATAAAAATAATTAATATCTCTAAAAAAAAATTGATTGATTACTTTTAATAGAATATCTCTTTTTAATCATATTTTATTATACTTATTTACAAAACTTAAATTTAAAATTTTATTACAATA